TGGCCTTTGCCCAAAATACCCATGTGGAAAAGACACTGCTCTGGGAATTCATGGGAATCATAAGAAATACAGAAAGTGTGTTATGGTTGCTATGCTGATTTAGACCCATTAATAATTTGATTAGACACTGAAGGGACCTATAAAACACAACTGCAGAAGTCCACATCCTTTTAATTTTAAAGCACATCTCCTTCTCATTCTAGCCTTTGTGTTGTCCCTGCTCCCACACTGTCCACTGAGTGCCAGAGGTTTGTCTTTGCAAACATTTGAAGTAATTACTGTATGTTGTAAGTGTGGGAGTCACTTTCTTAAATGATTTGACAGCTTTATGGAACATTTCTAATCATTAGGTTTGGACACATTATCATACCTGAGGATTTTCAAAACAAACAATTATCACATTTTAACTATGATGGAACTGATTAAATAAAAGAAAGAAGGAAAGAAAAGTCTGTACAAGAGGCTGTAGGAGAGATTCATTCAGAAAACCTGAATGACCGACTGTCTCCCACAGTAGAAATTCAGTTTAAATGCTGCCGACTTGTTTTGTGCAGGACTTTTGAAGACCTTGGGTTAAGGTTAGGTAAAGATCATGGTTTGGGCTGAAATGTCACTAAAGTCAACACATCATGTCCCTTTCTTCAATTCACTGCTGACCTTTTCAGTATTAAACCAGGACCAAGATCTTTCAATAATCTGCCTCTTCGTGTGGACGGCAAAGTAAGAATTTCATTGTACAGGGAAACACGTTTCCTAACTGTGCATATGACAAACAAACACTTTGAACTTGAACTCTAGACAGAAGCTTTAAGACTCACAGGTCTCAGTGATGCATTTACATGCACTTAAGTAACCAGGTTACGGCTGAAATCAGATAACATGTTTACATGCACGGCAGTAATCAGGTTACTCAAAAACCCCAGTGTACACGAGCTCCTAGCTAATCTGATTCCCCATAAACAAAGACGGCCCTGGTCAATCAAGCTTGCATTTTGGTCTCTTTAGTGATGTTTCACCTGTAAATCACAACATTAGCTGCCCCGTTTGTCGTGAAAGGCGAAACACATTCATCCAACAAGCAGCTGCTGTTGGATAATCATCCTCCATCTGCGTTCATCCGTCTTCACAATGCTCCATCGCTGTTCCGGCAGTTGCCACCACTCCCTCTCTTCTCTGCTTCCTGTTCACACATCTATCTCACCCACACTCATGTGGGTACAGCTATCTCTGGGAGGACACTGGCCACTTGTCCTAACCTAAACCTGATTCTATCCCAAACCTTAAAACCAGGTCAGAACCCTTGAGGAACCCTTTAAAGGTGTGAGGACAGGACAACATGTCCTCACAGTGATGGTATAAAATTTAAACCAGTACATTCATTTCCTGGAGACTCACCCTGACACTAACCTCATGCCCCCTTACACTAAGTAGTCAGCCTAAACCTGAATGATTTACATTGTGAGGACGTGTTTACTGGACGTCGAGTCCCCACAGCGTCACCGTGTAAACAGATTTATGTCCCCACAGCCTGAGTAATATCAGCCCACACACAGACTACACGTGCAGTCTCATCTACTTAGACACCGAGTAAGAAACAACAGAAGGAGAAAATTAGAGACTGAGAGAAACAAAGCATCATGGGAGGAGGAAGGAAGAAGCAGAGAGAGAGAGAACAGAGAAAGAGGGACAGAGACAAAGACAGAAATGATAGGAATAACTGTCTCTCCTTTCCTCACACACTCTCCCCCTCTCTCGCTCACCATCTTTCTCTTTCTTTCTCCCATGTCATTCTGTATTTAAGACACTGTTGGTGGTTTGCTCATCCTTTCAGCCCTCTTCCTGTGTCTCTCTCTCCGCTCACACTCTCACATCCAGCAAAGTGCAAACTCCCTGTGGCAGCGTGCAAAGGTCATGCACACAATACACTGAGCGACAAAGGAGAGCACACACAGCAGCAGCAGCAGCACAGCAAAGGACACATCGGTACTGTAGCTGTGTGAGCCTCTCTGTGTGCACCCGTGTGTGTGTGTGTGTGTGTGTGTGTGTGTGTGTGTTACTGGACCTTTCGACTACAGGCTTTGGTGCCACCAAATATCGATTTACTAAAACTCAGCCTGTCACTGCGTCTTTGTGGGCTCATCACTGCAACACATACCAGTGATGATCATGTGTGAGCATCGCTACATGTGTTAAACCTGTATGACATTTTGTGTGTGTGTGTGTGTGTGAGACAGCGAGACAAACAGGAGAGGTGTATTTACACATGCCCGGACTGTGTGTTCGTCTCTGCATGCTACTCGTAACCATGTATGGATTTGTGTGAGTGTTTCATCTTTTTCCACCTAAATCTACACAGGAAAAGCACGACACTGCTGGAGAATGTGCTCAGAAACCTTCTGCTTCCCTTTAATAAACCAGCTCGGTACTAAAAACGTGCTTCCATAAGCTACTGTGCTGCCTATGACGACAAACACAGAAGGCGGTGGAGAAGAAGTTACTGTAATTCTGATAAAAAATGCTATATACATTTGCCACAGTCCCACTGTGAAACACGATGGTTAGGACCCGAAGTGTGTGCGGGTAACCGAGGTGTCATGTGACTGGTGAGAGGCTCTTGGGAGGAGTCACCTCAGAGAGCTGTTTGATGAATCTGGGGCTGGTGGGACAGACTTGACCCTTTTCCCCCTTGAGCAGGTGTGTTTTGAGTTATACATTTCTGTCAACTAATAAAAATGAACTGGCAAAACGTCGTTGCAGAACATCAGTTTCATCCTTTTATAACTATTCTGTCATCATGCTTCATCCCTCTCACATCTTCTACTCCTCTTGCTCAGTTATTAATTTGTACATATATTTACCCATAAGCACAATGTGATGCACATGTCCATCCCTCTGTCTTCATCCACACACACAACACATCTTGTTGGATGTACAGTAGCTATAAGAGGAGATCTGCTTTTTCAGTAACAAAACGGAGACACTGATGTGATGCCTGTCAGGAGGGAAACTGAAAATCTGTCACGCAGAACCCGACAAAGACCGTTTTTGTTTTTCATCTTTTCAGCTCTGGCAGGGAGCAAAGACAAAAGTCTGTTAAGTCTGAATGAAAGCACAGACTGACAGGCCACAAGGAAGAGGAGTGATGAAGAGCACCATCAGAACAGAGACAGTAGACACAAGATGGTGACAAACTGCGTACAGATGCCAGTCAGAATAAAACCATATACTGTGACAAGTTTAAATAAACAAGTGAAGAGGTGGCATGAAAAGAAGGGTAAGAAAGGAGGGATGGAGAGAGCAGGGAGAGAGAGAGGGGGAGAGAGAGAGCAAGGTAGAGAGAAAAAAAGACTAACAGCACAGACCTGGAGGTCAGAACAGGGAGAGAGAGAGAGAGCAAGGTAGAGAGAGAAAACGAGTAACAGCACAGACCTGGAGGTCAGAACAAGCTTCGGACAAACAACCCGACTGGACGTTAGGATCAACACCTGATAACCTCCACACACTGACTCTGCTGCTACGTCACCAGTCACTTCTTCTCTACCTGTCAGTCACCTGATTATAACATGTACCAACCAACCCTGTATGGATGATATGCACCTTCTGGCCTGGTGGGAGCTGTAGTTTGCCCCTTTTGAAGCATAATAATGGTTGTAATAACTGAAAATGGGCATTTAATGGGCTGACAAGGGCAAAGAAGCTCAAGATCCATGAGGTGTCTCCACACAGTGCAGTGTAGTGTAGTCAGGGTAGGTAGTTATTACTTAGAACTGGAATAAAAGCTAATTGTTAATTCACCACTGGGTAAATATCTACCTATTTCTCTGTTTTGCACAACGCGTGTATAAAAGGATACGGCAGCTAAAAGCCCAGTAAAACTACATCTACTACTGCAGTAAGTGCGATGGTCAGGCATTAAGGAAACTATATGAAGGCAAAGGGCAGGAGGCTCAAACTGCTGCAAGAACCTGAAACTAAACTTAGACACAAAGAGAGAAAGACAACCAGTGGCACATCTTCAGCTCCCTACCATCCTGTCTGAAACACACACCAACACACACTCGGCCCTAAGCTAAACCTGTTCCTAACCTGAACCCTGAAGGTGTGAGGACCATGCAGCATGTCCTCATTGTAATGCCCTCTGGCCAACGTTGCAATGCATTCTGCAAAATAACCGCGAAGTCCTTTGTTCCTTCTGCTATCAGGCTGCTAAATGCACTAAATAAATCATAGTATCTGACTATATTCCAGCCCCCCCCACCCTGTCGGTGATGGGTAACTGTTGCTTGTACTGTATGTGAGTCTGTGTAGAGTTGAGTGGGTTGTAAACCTGTCAAACCTAATTGCCCTTGTGGGATAAAGTTGTCTGAACTGAAATGAAATGAAATGGACTCAGTCCTAACACTGCTGGCCAAACACGTACACACACACAAACACCTAGAGTGGAAGGACAACAGAAAAATCTCCACTCCAACTTAATGCAGTGTGAGGACACTAAACAGTGGCTTTCTCAGCATGAACACAGGAAATGAATGCTTCAAACGTGAGATACAGTAAGAATGAGAATCACAGGAGTTAGTCTTTGCTTTTATTATGTAATGCCTGCAAACGTCAGTAACATCCTGAACACAGCTGCCGGGGATCTCACCAAATAGAACCATTTGAAACCTATAGAGCGGTGGAGTCACGGAGCACTGACTGTAAGAGAAACACACAACGCACCCTGTGGGAATGCAGCGCATGTGCACCAAGTTTGTTTCTGAATGATAAAATAGAGAGCGGAGCTGAGGGAAAGACTGGGAGCTTTGTAAACAACGAATCGACTCTCAGAACAACTGCACCACTTGTTCTCTCTTCAGAGCTGCTTAGATTCTGGGCCACACTTGGAAGAAGTGTGTAAATACAGAGGTTTCCCATGATACCACTGTAACACCTTTGTGCCTGATGCAGCACAGTAAGCCAAAGACCTGCAGACATGTAAAGACAAACTCTGTGCTGCTTACCACATAGAGCTGCTTCCACAGTGAGGCCCACTCCTGTAGCATTGACGTCACCTCGGTAACAACGGGGTCTTCCAGAGGCACCGCAGTCTCATGTGGCCTGTACAGTGATAACAGAAAAACACACAGCCACTGAGGTTAATTACTTCTTGTAAAGCACATTTACAGAGCTGGCATTATCGGCCTTTGTGACCCATTCTGTGTGTTTTAAACATATCAGTGACGTTGTTTAGATTTACCTAAACCACCTTCACAAACAGCCCAGATTCCTCTGTCCTCTAGCAGTTCTCATCATAAAATCAACACGATTCATGAGCAGCTACTCTGACCTAGGACCTAATTACTCTTAACCTGTGCCTCACCTGGGGACTGCAGCTAGAGACACAGGACAGAATACAGAGATACAGTATATGAAAGTCTGATCCTGAATAGGCAGGACAGGAACCAGGAGATCTCAGCAGGACGTTTCACATCTTTCAGTTGTCCAACAAAGTTTTCACATGTAGCTAAAGGCAGCTAGCTTCGCTTTAGCACAGCTATTTGCACTTAGCTCCCTACACTCTCATGGTAGCGCTGCGCAGGGGGTTGGCTTATCCTCACACATGTGATTTCACCACCGGGTGTGACGTCACAACGAGGACAGATTCAGCACCGCTCACACTCGAGGTGGGAGAGTCACCGTTTTAAATGAAATGAAAAACAAAGCAGATATAGAGCTTAGTGATATGACAGCAGCGGGGGAGCTAAACCATCAGCAGTGTCCACATCAAACTCTGCTTTTTATTTTTCATCAAACAGCTCTTTAAGAGAACAAAGAACAGCATGTCCAGGACAAAGACACAGCTAACAGCTGAGAACCAAAGCAGGAAGAGAACGAGCCAATAAGCTGTCGACTTAGACCAAGATTTCACTCCTAACGTGTGCATTTAAAATATGAGAATGCGTGGATGAATGAACGACCTGACAGTATTTGAGGTAGTTAAATTACCTTTCATTTAATAATTATACTAACGCTGTGAATGGGCCCACTCTGCACAAAGATAATACTTCACAGCAGCTGAGCAAGAGTCTGAATAAATACAAATACAAATATAAAAAAATGTGGAATAAATAAGAATATATAATGAGCACTTAGTTTAATTAGTGATAGTTTAATTATACTTTGTTGGAGTCTGTACTTTTACAGTAGCTTTCAATGCAGGTCATTGTCATGTAACAAAGTAAAGTTACACTAAGGCACTGACACTTTCACTTAAGTCAAAGGATCTGAATTCTTCTTTGTCCTGTTTCATATTCAAGTTTTGGTGCCTCCAAATAGTTTTGGCCTTTAAAACCCAACACACCGTATGTTGCTTTTATCTCTCAAGTTGTGCTCAATATCTAAAACATTAGAGAAAAAAGTGTTGAAATGCTGAATCAGAATGAGAATCGGCTTTATTAGCCAGGTGTGACGGACACACGAGGAATTTGACTCTGGTACATCGGCTCTCAATGTGCAAGCAGCAGCACCTGTGGAATTAACCAACCAGACCAGCGCTCATGTTTCCAGACTGCGTGAACCAGCTGAAGAATAGGTTCGCCTCAGTTTCAGTGTGTGCTGCTAACGCTCTCCTCCCTTTGCTTCCAAACCTCCATGACATATCATTTTGACCAAAGGGGTCGTGTCCGTCTCAGCCCTGCAGTCAGGAATATGAGACTCCCTCTCTCTCTCTCATCCACTTCCCTCTCCACCCAGGCCACCTCTCTCGTCTTCCATCCTTGGGTTTTACTTTGCGTCTCACGTATTCCTTTTTCCCTCTCTAGCTGTCTCATAACCGATTCATTAACCACAGCCGGTGCCAGATGAGCTGATCTCCCAGCCGCCTGCTGATTTCACCCACATTAGCTACACTTGCCACTCAGACGCTTCTCCTCCTCTGTTCTACTTCAAACTAATCCCTCCCTCCTCCTGTTCCTCTTCTGCTTCCCTGACTCACATCGTTCCCACTCAGGTTTGTTTCTTGTTCTGCCAGGTTTATGACATTTCTCTGGGTTTCTCTCCAGTGCTCCTACTTCTCCACGCTCCACACTTTACTGCTGTTGTCTCCTCCGATTTTCTGTCTTGGTTTTCTTTTCGACTCCCTCTCCTCCTCTTTCTCCTATTTCCTCCTCCACAGTCTCCTTTGTCCTCCATCTTTCTCCTACTTTGCTTCACCTTGCCAAAGTTCTTTTTTCATCTAGTCTCGTCTTTTTCTGCGTCCAGGTTTACTCCTGACATACACCAAGCCCCCTCTCCCTGAATGTCTCTCGGTCTTCTGTCGGTCTAAAGCCACTTTGGTTCCATTTCCTCCAACCCAACAGCTTCTTCTTCTGAAGTATGTCTCTGTTATTTTCTAGGAAAATATTTAACATGCACAGCTGTGCTTCAGACTTTAAAGGCATTTATTATTCTGTGCCTTGGCCACATTAACTGGCTTTGCTTCAGATGCAGCCATGTCATTTGATGCTATCGTATCAGAAGTCCTTTTATCTCGTGTACTATGTCACAGTAAATGACAACCAATGCTGCATCTCAGACGCCTCACACCGTCCCAACACAAAGTCCAGCACATCAGAATGTTTTTCTTGGTCTATGACAACGAAACTGACCAACAGAAGCACAGATGGCTCTTCTGTTCACACGCTCTGTGGCATATTGGACTGAACATGTTCATTAAATATCACAGCGATACAGCTCATGTTAGCACAGCTAGCTAGTTTTCACTTTTACTACCGGCTTAAAACACTTATTTTAAAAAGACAACACACACTGCTGCGATCCTTGTGTGACCCAGACCCCCCCCCTCCCCGGTTTTCTATGCTTTTTCAAACAGGAGCAGCCCATATCACACACACCACAGATGCTATTCTGTCCCTGTGTTTACATTCATTTATGACTGTATAATCATGTAATCTGACATAGTGACCATCAGTATCAGACCAAAAATCGTGTAGTGTGAACCAGGCATAAGACTATAAAGCCCCCGACATACATTAGTATTAGTGGGTGATATAAATTGGACTTGGCTTGAAAACAGCCGCCACTATACCCAAGTTGTAAAATTATTCAAACTTCATTATATTTCACCATCTCACTGGAACTTGAAGCTGTTTTCAGTCTGATCCCCACTAAAGTCTCTATATGAATATAAATCATTCATTCGTTATGTAATGACTTTAGATTCAGCTCGATTTCCTCTCTGACACTCAAGTGACTGCTGTGCAGCCTTGAGAAAGTTGGGAACCACGGTACAGACAGTACACTCTCTCTTTCATGCAGACACACTCTAAGACATTATGTGTGTGTATATACAGTAAAGAAAAAAAGAAAGTCACCTTCGGCTTTTCCAGTTTAGGGGTCGCCACAGCGAACCGCTTCACTGACGACTCACATGTTGACATTTGGCACGTGTTTTACGCCGGGTGCCCTTCCTGACTCAACCCTGACTCGAACCCAGGCCACAGTGGTGAGAGCACTGCGCCTTAACCACTAGCCACACACATAAATACATACACACACACTTTCAGTCCCACTAGGTCAACAGCCCATAATTCTATTTGTCATGGTGTACCAGCATCCTGTACTCAGTAAGCTAAACCCCAGCTCTCTCTCTCTCTGCCCTGGAGACCTACATGAAACAGTAAAGGATTCACTAATTCCAATTAATTTACTCTCTCTGCTTTTAATTAAAAACTCTTATGCAAATTGAGACACGCTCTGCAACTCTGATTAATCTGAAGTTAAAAAAGCTTTCCCAATCATCATGCAAATGTATTATAATGTGTACTCTTGAACTTGGAAGAGAATCAGAAACAAGGAGGTTCAAAGCTTATTTTGAGAGACCGGGGTCTCAAAACAATGGATCCCAACAGAAAACGAGATCTCATCAAATTATGCTTTAAATCGTTTAGCTGCAAGCAGCGGCCTCCCGGCGCTCTGGAAAACAGTCTGTGGCATCATCCCAGACAGACGAGTTGCCTTTGTTTTAGACACCCAGATACGTGCTGCAGTGACTAAAGGACGATGACATACTGTACATATCCTATTGCCACTAAAAGAACAGACACATCCTGTGTGTAATTTAAGCAGTGCACCCACTGCTGTTGCTGTACTATGCACTGCGAGTTCTTTTTCTTGGCCTCAGTGTGTGCACACACACGAGGCGTCCTCAGCTGCAGAGGTCAGTTTCTGAGGCAAAGCACAAAACAGGGAAATAACTGAGTGATTACATGTTAAAAGGATCAAGCATGAAGGGACGCCGCTAACTTGAGAATAGGTAGTCAAGTAACTGTCACAAGTCTTTTTGACACTGAGATCCCACATGACTGCTGTTCCAAAGGGTCGCTAGCCTCCTGCCATGTTACGTACAGATCGAGCTAAGGCCGGTATAATCGCGAACCAGCCTGTGAATTCAAACAGCAGGCCGGCATTAGAGGCAAGAGGTGACGTCACTCTGACGTCGATTTTGTGCCGGTTGTCTACAAACCAAAACAACAATGGCGGGAGAAATAAGTGCGGATGTAGTTTTGTTGGCTTGTCAAGCTTTTTTTTTTCCACTTCATGCAAATTTGGTTAGCGTGGTTCTTGCTATGTGCGAATGTCATGTGTAATAACTGCAATCAATGTGTTTGTGACATCAGGAATGCTTTGACCTGTAAATGAGAGAGAAGCTGAGAACAGTTTGAGGCGGAGTGGTGTGCAGACTTAAGGCGCCGGTGATAGTGTCGCACACATATTATATCATCAAAACATAGCACTTGGACCTGGACTGCGAGCTGAGCCTTTCTACACAGAGTGTGTCTCCCCTTTGTTTCACCTCTGGTATGAATATGAAAGCTGAGCTGGTAAGAAAAAAGAAGAATGTTTGGATAGGTTACAAATAAAAACCCAAACAGCAAAGTGCCACTGTGTGCAGACTGAAATATTATGTCAGAGTAAATGTGGCAGTTAAACTAATCTACACTGTGAACCTGTCCCACAGAGACAGAGACAGCCAGGGAGGTGTCAAATTCCCAGGAATGGGACAGATGTGAGGTCACTGCGACAGTGATGGCCATTGGCCATGAAAATCTAAACCGCCATGTAGTCGCTTGTGCCAAATTTGAAAATTCCCCCTCAAGGTGTTTCTGAGATATCGTGTTTACAAGAATAGGACATAGGGACGGACAGATAACCAGAGGACATGATGCCTCTGGCTATAGCTTATTCCATGTGCTAGCATTAGTGTTCCTACTTTAGAGCTGTGCTTGAAGTGGTCTCACAGGCTGGTCAACTTACCCCCGGTTGGTTATGATGGCTTTCTTCAAGTGAACGTAGCTGGCTGGGAAAACTCCCTGCAGGGACAGAGACAGACAAATCAGTTGATCCAGATGATTAGAATCAGGAGGTACGCTGATGATGGTGGTGACAGTTCCTAAAAAGAGGACAGCCAACATAGCTTCAGGTACCTGCTGACATGAATGTGTGAATAAACAAATAGTGTGACATATAAACAGTGGTTAATGTCTCAGCTGAACAAGACAAATGTCTCAGTTTGTCTTTTAGTTGACAGAAAATGGCCGTTGCCTGCTGCATTCAGATCACTTAGCACCATATTCTCATGTTCTTTGGCATATTATGGCTCCGCTGTGCGTAGAGCTTGTTCTGCAGCCCTGTGGCGTGAATGTGCTATTGCCTTTATCATGTGTCCCTCTTCGATCCATTATCTCTCCAGTTCTCATTCTGAACCTGTTGGTATAGACACTATGAGCACTGAGGGTCTCACAGACATGCTGCTGCTCATTCTCCTCAGGTCCCATGAGGCATCATGCCACCTCGAGTCCCCGAGTCAGTCAGTGCCTCTGCAGCAGACGTGGACCCACTGATGCCCTGTGCTGCTCTGTGGCCACCTTCATGTTTCAGCTGTGAAATAAAGCTTCACTTTTTTGCAGCAGTGTTTATCTCTAATAGAAATTAAACTATTTGCTCTGGGCCTCCTATTCTATCAGCATGCACTATAAATGCTAAATACAGTATTCTTCCTTGAATAGGGAAGTAATTACTGTAGGTATTTTGTCTCATAAAGTCTTCCTATCTGGAGTTTTTGGGGGAAAATATGATAATATGACTGGAGAAAAAGAAAAAAGCATGTTAAAGTGCAGCTGGTGCTGCTGCAGTGTGAGGAGGGAAACATTCATACTGGAGGGATGCAATTCACCTTCTCCTACACATTTCAGGGAGGAAAGAATCTATTTTAGGACCAAATGTGTGTGTGTTTGGTTGTTTGCCCGTGTATGAAAACATCCCTGTGTACACTGCAGTATATGAATTTGTTCTTGTGTGCATATCCTACTTATGTGTTGCCTCCATCATCAGCCAGCCTGCATGTGCCCTCATGCATCTGCAGATGCAAGTCTATCTGTACTCTGAAAGTGCGCCCCCCAGTGGTTAGAAAATAAAGCCCTCTGTGCCATCTTGCATGTTTACTTTTATCTCCTTCTACTGTCGACGGAGAGAGATTGTCAAAAAGCTGTTTAGGGTCAAACACAGCATAATAAAACACAAGGGAGCACCTTCCTGTGTGAATGTGTTTCTGAAGGAGACAAAGAGGGTGTCAGGGGGGTCAGAGAGAGACCTACAGAGACAGGATGAGAATGAGTGTTAAGAAGAAATAGAGTAACTGTGTTTGGCCATGCATTTGACAGGAGCGGCTCAGAGGTGCCGGCCCTGCCTCCAGGGAGCTCGCTCAATTACCTGTGTGCCCAGAGCCATAAACACACAGTCTGGAAAATGCTTCTCACAGCTCTGCCTCACAGCTCTGCCTCACAGCTGATCCTTCAAACCCCCGAGGACTCCGCGCTTTGCTGTAATAAATCCGTTTAACCTTTGTTGAGATTACAGAACAAACACAGCTCTTCTACTTCCACTGCTTTAAAGCATGAAAGGATGTCTTCTCCTTGTGTCACCGGGTACTTCCTGACAGCATCACAGGTGTGTGTGTGTACATGTTTTGTTACACTATGTGGACAACTGTTTTTCAATGCCATCATTGTGAGGACATGCTGTCACCTACTGATGTTGTCTGAGGGCTCAGACCTGGTTTCAGGGTTCAGGGGCTAGAGGATGCTTTATGTCAGTAAGGGTCCTGACAGCTACAGTAAGACATATCTGTGCAGGAGGTCATCGGTGCTGTGTTGATCTTAATTTGACTGATGGTGCTGAAGCACTGGTTCAGTTAAAAAGGTCGTCTTGTTACAGAGCAATGGAGGAAAGTGGAGACAGAGACAGGAAGAGAGAAAAATAAACTCATGTACAGACAGAAGCATAATGAAGGATACGGAGACAAATGCCTGAGTGAACGAGACTGGGGGAGAAACAGAAGAGGAACAAAACGTCATCCACCTACACATGACACGGCTGCCCTGTGGACCAGGCAGCGGCAGGTACCGGGCGCCACCTGGCTCTGACCTGAGGGTTAAAGCCCCCGGGGCCAATCACTGGGACGCATCTCAGCTAACAGGCAGACACACAGAAAAAAACGACAGAAACAGCAGGAACTGAGCTGGAGATGTACAGTAAACCCTGGGAGGGAGCCTGTGGCAGATAGATGATTACAACACAGAGACATATAATTAAACACACCCTTCCTCTCCATCCTGTACCTCCTAACAGATGTTTACTGTGTGTCAAAGCCACATAACAGCCAACTGCTTGGTTCCTACAATTGTCCAGGAGACAAATCAAAGCAAATGCTGGTTTATTATGCACCTAAATACAGCATGTGCGTGTGTGCCTGTGTGTAGATGTGTCAGAAAGTACTGCTTATGTTCCCATTTACACACTATAATATTACATGTCAAACTGCCTTCAGACTTTCGGAGAACGGCCGAGAGCTCAGACGTTCTTTGTGACAAATAACACAGATCTGACATGTTTAATTTCATGGGTTGTTACTTGGAAATGATTCAGCTTTGCTTAACGGCGTCCAGCTCACCGATCATTCAAATTAGGGATGTCAAACGTCTGTGAGGGCTAACGATAAAGTCCAGCAAGTTCACATCAGGGACTTGTTTAAAGTTAAAATCTCTGAGTTCCTTTTGTTGGAACAAAGAAACCAATGCCAGACAAATGAAAGTGTGTCTGAGGTATTAAAACCACTATTTTATTTCAGTAACAGGACAATACTACAGTAGAGCCTGAAGTGAGAGAGTCCTGACAGTGGACATTTTGATAGTTAAAAAAAAAAAAAACACTTTACAAATTGCTGTACTGAGCTGAAGCACTTATGGGCTCATATCCCAGTCAGCAGAGGACACAGCTGCACAAAGGTTCACGACAAAGTTGTCCTGCCTAATGTGATGGTTTCACGTCTTTTTTTAGCTCATTTAGCAAACTTGTCTCAACATGACCTCTCAGCATCAGTGGGTGAGACGCATCGCCCGGCTCATCATTTACCAACACATGCAGGGCGCTGTGATTAGTTTTACATGCCTGAAATACTACACTCTGATCGCCCTACTGCTTCAGAGCAAGCGTCATGGAGGTCAAACTCATCGGAACCTGTTGCTCCTTCTCTGCTTTAAGCCCACTTCTCTTCTTCCTCCTCCTCTCCCTGAGTTTTCACACCCTTCTCTGCTTTAAGCCCACTCTTCTTCCTCCTCCTCCTCTCCCTGAGTTTTCACACAACAGTTTCCACTTCACTGTCTCCTTGTTACCGCTGCACAGTAATTACACTGTGTTTGGTTTCATTCTTCTCACACCTGCTGGTGGATGTGTGGCGACCTGTCAGTCAGGCCTGGCACAAGCTGAAAGGAGGAACAGAAGCTGCAGGTGTTTCCCTCCGTCGTCTCTAGTACCGTGCTTTCTTCTTCTGTTTCATCCTTCTACTGCTCCCTAGCAGCTTCTCTCCTAACCCCGACCCCGACACTCCCTTCTACTCTGTTCTATTCTGAGAAGGTCTGTTGTGTTCAGTGTCTCTGTTGGAAGTGAGAACAAGACTTGTGTAATTCTGACATAATGAACTCTGGTGTATAATTTCACACAGTGGCTCTGACTCGGCCTGGATGATAAAATAACAGTGATTACATCACAAGTGCACAACTTCATCTTTTGTTTGATTCTTCAGTGAGTGGCTTTCTGACGAGTCTGAGCAGGAGACATTTCCACTTCAACAAGACCGGGCTGTTAGCTTCATAAAAGGCAACAGGCACAACGAATGCACATAGATTCTGTTCTCTACTTTAGTCTTCACACTGCACTTCTGCTCACGGCTGATATTTTTGGAAGACTGGTCACATCTGCACATGCTCCGTGTAACAAACTAAAACATCAGTTTGGTACCTGCATCTTTCCTGCTGGTTTTACAGTTCACGTTGAACTAACTGCTGGTTAGTTCCCACTATGCCAATCATACCGGGCCACCTGCGTATGTTCTCCTAGATCCAATTCCCCTCTGACCTCTGACTGTGCGAGCGCTGTCAGAACGCTCAGATCAGAATCCATGTGGTCGTTTTAACGTCTCCTCCTCTGCACATATGGCCTGATGTCGTCATTCAGCATCGGACCCTCACAGACCGGTAACAATAAACATGGAGGACAGCGACGGGGTCTTCACTGCAGTGAAGACAGCAGTGTCACCAGGAGCCTGATCCATCAGACAACAACAGTCAACAGAAGATAAGAAACTTGCTGAATCACTCCAGACTGTGTTATTCTGTCCTGACACAGAGAAACTGCTGCTGCTGCATATCTTCAGTTTTTACACTCATAACTCCTTGTGTTTTGTGGCTGTTGTTTTGTAGGATGAGATTAGGTTCTCACTCAGAACAAACTGCAGCACATTTCGCCTCCATCCCGCCCTGCTGCACTCATCTGGTGGCGAGTGTTTTATACACCACAGCAGGAGCAGCATCTGTCCGCAGGTCTTAAATCTCTATATACGGAATGTCAACAGTCATTTTCCTCCCAGTGAGTACACTGGTCCTCGAACCTGGCCGACAGGAAGTCACATAAGTGTGAGTAAACACATGTGCACTTGAACAGATCCTCTCTCTCTGTGTACATTACATACAAACACTCAACCAGTCTGCTGGTGGCTCACAGATCCAGACAGTGCTGGACCAGGTTTGTGTGGTGCATCAACTCCACGCACGGCTCCCTGCAGATACACACCCGCCGTCTGTGGCGAGGAGCTCGACATGCACAGACAGATGTGCACGAAAAGTGTTGAAGATTAATCTGATGTCAGATGACAATGATTGGATGAAGACTTCTAGTTAGTTTTAAAAACCCCAAACACTAAGAAATAGTGTAAGAACTATGGTTCATGATGTACTTACAGGCTCTGCAGCTGTACTGCCCACTGACGCTTTCTATAAAAACAACTGGTGACTGATCAGTGGATAATCTAATTATGAAAGATACAGAATCTTGCAAAAGCTTTATGCAAATAAACCAAAGTGAGTTCAAACCCTAGGCAGCACAAATGGAGCCTGGCTGGAACTTTAATGAGCTGAGTGTGTAAGCAGCTGCAGCATCAAGCAAAGATCAAACATCCCGACACTTTTAAGTCATATTTGCACACAGTGGGTTTATATTAATGCACAGACTTTAATGTCTACCACTGCATGCTAAGAAGCCAGGCTACAGACACTGGACTCAGATTCTGATTCCAAATCATTTTACTTTATAAACTACCAATTACACAGAGCAAAAGAAAAATGATATCATTCGGTCTAAATATTTGCTGTAGGATTGTTCTCAACATCTTAGACATTAGGTTGAAATATGTGGACCTAAATATTTTTATGAAGCGATTAGTGCTGGTCTGTTCTACTGGTATTTTTTAGCAGCCTGCTACATACAGCGATGCTGATATCAGACTGGGGTTTTTGCCGTAAGCAGCAGAGCAGAGAGCCAACCTGGGCTGATCCAGGTTGGGATGAATTCATGACAGGAGCTAATGTATAGTCTCAACAGCCTCGCTGATTGTGTGTGTGTGTGTGTGTGTGTGTCCTTTGTTTCCGACATTCTAGCCTAACTGGTCTCACATCTGCTGAAAGGTGAGTGGGCGAGCAGCTGCTTCCGCTGAGCCGAGCCAAGCAGAGATGGTCACTTCTTGCTCTGTGTGTGTGTTTACACCTTTTACAGTAGTTGGCAGACAGCTGTGTTCACCTTGACAAAGTAGAACACACACAAATATGACCTTCAATGCCCACACACAGGTACACACACACACACACTTTCTTTAGATGGATTTTCTACTCCACTGCTAATGCTAACTCCATATTCTTCATTTTTGGTTAAACACTAAGACTAGATGCTACAGGGCGTATTGCTGCCCTCTGCTGGTCGCTCTATGTTGCTCCTTTTCATCAGTCTTATATTCTGCTGTTTAATCTTGCAGGTAGCTCAAGAACTGCTCAATTTTACTCCAAGAATCCAGGTTGAGTAAGGTGCACATATTAAAACAGCTTCTCCCTTTGATGACTCAGCGTCTTACAGCCTCTGATCTGCCACCTGGGTGTTTTCCAGCCCATTCCTAAGCCCACAGTGCCCCAAACTCCTACAACCAAATTCTCTTTTACAAACTAAACAACTTAGTTCTGGATTTTCAAACAGGACCTCCCTTCATTTCCTGTCTCCCATGACTTTTGCCACATCTGATTTACAGCCTGATGACTGAACCACACTCTGGCCATAGCCTGCTCTCAGTTGTACACTTCAACAGTGGCAGAAATAGTAACCAACAAAGTATACTGGTGCCTAAAGCTCACTGCACAGCATCTCTCACTGCTATGACCTTTACTGCACGTCTGCACCCATGAGACTCATACTTTGGGTTTGTCACACACATTCTTGTAGTTTATGTTGGAACAAAACAACGTGAGCTCCTGTTTTCATTGTTTAAAAATGACATCATTATGTACTGAGGGTGCTGCCCAGTAATTATGCCAAAAACACTTTTCTAAACCCTCTTGTAAACTCAAGGACATGGTCTGGGTTTAAGAAATCATTATTGCTTATTCTTATTCTTGACAGACTTGTGGGATGTCGTTAACTGCAGCTGCAGGGTATGTCTGTGCCAGACGAGACTGTTTCTTTGCATTTATCATCATGTCACATCATTATCACAGTTACTGTGATGTACAGAGCATCTCAACGAGACAGGAACTGCCACAGGCTGAAGGATCAGGCCTCATGCTGCAGAACTGTGCTCCATCAAACAGACTATGTTACTTCTGTTCCTGAGAATTTCTGCTGTCAATCAGCTGCCACAGGTCTCCTGCCATCATTCAGAGGGGTGTAAAGAACTGCAGGCTACGTTAAAGGATACAACACATCAAATGCTGCAAGACACAGCTGTGTTGACTAACATGTCACCGATGCAGCGTTAATTTCATGGAGGAAAGCTATGATGAAAAATATTTGTTGACTGTCAGTCAGGAATCTTTGTGTTGCTATCAAAAGGACGAATGTGGGCAGTCGACCACCTAAATCTTCGTCCTGATGTCGGCTAAACAAACCTCACAGTGTTCATGCTCCCCCACAGTTTAGCTTCTCCTCTCAGGCTGAACCAGTGGGTTTTAGTCTGAATCAGCTTCTGCAGAGCACGAGGACAGATGTACACCTGTAACCATGGTAACTGTACATGACAAAGACAGACACCTGTAACCATGGTAACCGTACATCTCCCTACCCTGTATGTATAAACAAACAAACTGTACACAACAAAGACAGAAACAGCTGCAGCCTCGACATGTTTAGACGATATAAGCATCAAAAACCTGGAGTGTGTTTAGCTTTCAATGACTAAAACTAACAAAAATCAAAAGACTAAAGTTTGAATAAACTCAGACACATTTTTGTCAAAAGATTAAAACTAATCCGTAGGTGTCAATATCAACACTGCCCTGATGCAGCCAGTAACACTGGAGCACAGCGCCCGTGCCTTTACTGCACGTGGCAAACAGAATGAGTGGCATTAGTTCTGAGTTCCGTTACCAGGAGTAAAGGCACCAACTTGCCACGTCCTCATAGTCCCGGCATCTCTACATGCCTTTATTTAATCAGTAACACAACAGGTTGAACCTCCACCCAGCAGCCACACTGAACATCACACAACACAAAGTGCGTTACAGAACAAACTGCAGCAGTGGGGAAACGCTGTACCGTGGGTTCACATGGTGACATATTTGGCCTCTGGGAATCTAGACTCCTTAAGCAGCTAATTAAGGCAACGTCTCTGCTTAACACAAGGACTGTTAGTAGCTCAGGCGGTTTTTGTGCCACAGGCAGAATTTTAGAGGAATGGAGGTCATGAATCCAACATGCAGCCTTTGGGAAAAGAAGAGTTTTTGCCTGGTTTCACTAATGATTCATCAGATCAGATGCTTCTCTCTTACATTACATTTACTCCTTTGTTTTCTCTGCTGTTCACTTAATGAATGTTTAGTCAGTTCAGCAGAGAAACTGAAATCCCTTTTAATATAAACCATTAGGTACATGCTACAACAGGCCTGCAACACAACGGCATTGCACAGACTAGTGTTTGATATTTAGCCTCACCTTGTTGATATAAATGGGGTGGGCAAAATAACAGAAACACCTTCTAGCACAATACAGCAAACACAACCACCGTACAGTTGCATCATCACCTCTGGGTTTCACGACTGATTAACAGACTGGGGGAGTTTTAGTCATGTGACATCCTAGTTCAGTTACACTTGAATGTTAAAGTATAAAATTCAAGCTGTGATCTTCACTTTAACGTCATCTCCATCATATATCACCCCACTGTGTGACGCACAAACTCTGCCTGACAGTAACACAAAGATAAACAGAGAGGAAGACAAAAGACAGATGAGATGTGGAAAGAAAAATTAAAGCAGAACTTTAAGAGGAAGGACGTGCCCTCAGTGAAGCAGAGTGATAGGAGATGTGAGCCTCTTACCTTCACATTCGGCTTTCTCATCAAGAATCCTCTGTACCATCCTGAAAGAAAACACAAACATGAGTGACTCAGGCAGACGAAGAAGTGAAAAGTAAAAAAAGTAAAGGTTATAAGCCAGCCCTCTGAATATGCAAGGCAACCTCTTCCAATGAAGCGATCTTATGTTTGTTTACAGAGAAAAAGAAACTCCATCTTAAAAGGACCAAACCAGTGACTGAAAATACATTCAACAATACAACAGCACAGTATTTAATGTATGATTCACTGCTAAGCTACACATCTACTCACAGAAGCTTCATATTTAATGTACAGCTAACAAAACATTCTAACATATTAAAGTTTAATCACACAGAAACCTTTTGTGTGAGGACAAGATGGGGCTGATGTTCATCTTAACGTCTTGAGTTGAGAGTTAGAGTCCAGGATCTTGCTGCAACTTTTAGAGTTTAATGTCTGTTATAAGATTATGAGCTGCAGCTCCATCACTTCATGGCAGGCAGCCGGCTCTACTGTCCAAGGCCACAGGTTTTCCATGTGAATGGGGAGTGAATAAAAGCTTTCAAATGATAAGCACTGAAAATACACACGAGTGAGGGAAGGATGGAACGGGAGATTGACAGGTGGATCGGTGCAGCTTCTGCAGTAATGCAGTCGATGTACCGGTCCGTCGTGGTGAAGAAGGAGCTGAGCTGTAAGGCGAAGCTCTCGATTTACTGGTCAATCTACGTTCCGACTCTCACCTATGGTCATGAACTTTGGGTCATGACCGAAAGGGCAAGATCCCGGATACAGGCGGCCGAAATGAGCTTTCTCCGCAGGGCGGCCGGGCGCACCCTTAGAGATAGGGTGAGGAGCTCGGTCACCCGGGAGGAGCTCAGAGTAGAACCGCTGCTCCTCCACATCGAGAGGAGCCAGCTGAGGTGGCTCGGGCATCTGTTTCGGATGCCTCCTGGGCGCCTTCCTAGGGAGGTGTTCCGGGCATGTCCCACCGG